TGACACTATTGGAACTACATTGTGTTGATAGCCAAAATGACTTAAGGAGTCATTTATGCCTGTCTGGGTTTTTGAAACCAGGACAATAATGGCTTTATCCTTAGTGACAGGTGAGTGATCCTAAGGGCAAGGCTTGAAGAGCAGGTGTCATAAAAAAGAACTGGGGAGCATTTCAAGTTTTATCTGAGCAGACTGTGACATGTAGCTACAGAAACAAGTATTGCACTTCACACTGAGTAATAACAATGGCAGATCCTTTGATACCATTGTAATTTTTTTTGATATTACAAACAGGGTGAGCAGTGACATCTCCTAAATGGAGTTTCTCTGATACATATATATATGTCACTAGTGGTAGGACTGCATGATTCTCAAACTACTTTGACTGCCTGGCAGTGGTGTATCTCAGCAGAAAAAAGAGAGTATATAGCAAAACTGGCCTTGAAATTTTAGAAGAACATGTTTTAGTGGAGGGTGGGGAAATATGTTCAGTCAACAAATGAACATCTTGCAAGGAAGGAAGACTTTGGAAACTTCAGCTCAATCAGTCTCACATCAGCTCCTAGCAAGATTATGGTGGACTAAAAATCATTACAAAGTAGCCAGGGAAAGAAGGCAACTGGGACAAAACAAGCATGGGGTTAGTAAGGGCAAGGAGCACCTGATTCAGTGGTTTTCCAAAAAGAGAAGACTGGTACAAAGGACAAGATGAATATATGTTCTTCCCCAACTTCATAAAGGCTTTTTGATGTGATCTCCTATGCTGCCTCTTTGTAATGCTTTCAGATGGAGAAACTCAACAAAGACATTGTCTCAGAAAAAGAATTTGGGGTTCTGACAAAGACACTTAAGGCACAAACATAAATCTAAATATGTGCAATGTGCTGGCTGAAATCAGCAAAGATTAATTCTATGTTGAAGATTATACACATAGATAGTGAAGAAAGAAATATACTTTATTTTTGTTCTCATGAAAATGGCTCCAGGTTTGGAACTGAAACAAAGAAAAATAAAGCTTTCTAAATATTTACAAGGATATTCAGTCTCCACAGTGAAAATCTGGAGAAAACATATACCTGAAAGAAGTCCTGCTTTGAAACCCACCTACAAGTTCTTAGTTCATATACAGTGGCACATTTTAAAATGCAAGATATACAGGGAGTTTTCAGAGTTTCCTCTGTTCAGTTAGAAGTCTATATACATCCTCTATTTCTTGCTTTCTAGACATTTTACCATGAATTTAACTGAATTATTAAATTCAGTGTTCTCTAAGGATATCTCTGGAAAACACATGCTTATTTCAGAGAATATATTTTTTTATTCAAAAAAATAAAAGCAATGCCCTCTAGTTTAAGGGACAATGACTAACTTCTTTTTATGCAATGAAAACAAATTAACAAAAAGATTACTTGGTTTTCTTGGGCCTTTAAGTATGGTATGTGAGAATGAAATAGATTAATAAACCCATGAATACATTCTCAAGAAAACAACCATGAATTGATTTAATTGTTATATAACAAACTATTAAAACTTTAACCTGATTGTTTGCATTCAAAAGTGCATTAGTATAATGATTTTAGGATGCAGTAGTATAACGATTATTCATAAGAACTGAAATATTGGATTCTGCATTATGTGTTACTTGATTTCATACATCTTATTAATGATACACCATAAAGAATGTAGTTTGCATTGTTTGTTTGCATCATATCAGTGCAAATGATATAAACATGGGAAACAGAACACAGTCTAGATGAAATTTACTGGTTTCAGACTACCAATTTGATCAAAAGTCAAAGGAGTCAATTCAGGATCAAATGACCCCATATCTGCTCAGGTTCTGATGCATCAGTTCAAGTTCTGATATGCAGTGAAGTCATTTGATGAAAATACAGAAGTTTCTTTTCTGTGTAAACATGGGATTGGGGTAGGAACCCATGGTTCTGTGGAAAACACTAACTGAATAGGGTAAAAAGGGCAAAGCAAGAGGAATAGGGTTAGGGAAAAAGCACATTCTGAGTAGCCTTCTCATTCATGTAACTTCTACAGATAAAACAGGAAATACTCATTTTATTCGAGACCTGGATTTTTCATTACTACTTTTTGTTAAAAAATTGTATACTGTCAGGAGAAAATATCACTGGAAGTTTTGTTTTTAAGAATTCACGAGAATCAGTTTTCCAAGTGACTGAACTCTACATATTTTAGCATTTACTTTAAGTAGTCAGGGCTTTAATGAAGCAATACAAGATAAAAGGCGATTTTTCAACCTATATACAAAGTTCAATACAGTTCTCCTGATAAAGGCAGTTTAAGGTCTGCATTTAACCCTGCATAAATTATCTTATTTGGGCATCATTTTGCATGAGGTAAATGTGGCAATACCAGCATTTGTAACCATATGTGAACTTTACACTAGCAAACCTCACCATCCTCACACTTAAATTGCTGCAGCAGAGAGCTCATTTCAGCCTAGCTACTCAGCAGACTGCCTGGGACTCTTACCAGCAGTAGTTTACTATCAGAATCAGAGGTGAACCCTCTTATACCAATGAACACATGTTATCAGGTTCAGATCTAGCTTACTAAAAGATAGCTCCAGCAAATATGCAAGAACCCCGCTCATGCCTCTCAGCACACCCACCGCTGTACCTCACTGTTAATATTGTTGGTCTACCCACCTCACTCTGCTTTGTGCTGGATAATGGGAGAATAGGGAAGCCCTGATCTCCTGGTCTGACAGCCCTACACTGACGTGTCTCAGAGGCCATTCTACAGACTGTGTCACCATTGCAGAGTGCTGTTTTGCAAAGTTACTATTGAATATATTTATTAAAAGTCACCTCAAGAGTTAATCCAACAATGTCACTTTAATGGATGTGTTCTTTTATAGGGGAATGAGTAAATTTGCTTAGAGAGCAAACTCTCCTTCTAGAAAATAAATGATGAGTTGTCAGTTTCACAGTATATTTTAACTCCAGTATACATCAAACTTAAATCATTATTTCTTCCATGGAAAAAAGAAAGTAAAAGCATTCCCGTCTGTATTACCCAAGGTAAACATTATATCAGTATTACTGACTGTAATAGGAGCTCAGGAAACCTAGCGCACTTTTAGATTTCTACTGTACCAAGGTCAATTCTGTAAGTGACAAAACAGCTAAGGTCACATGCAGATGCCACACACCTGTGGGAATACCCTACAGAGACATTACAAATTCCTACTGCTAAACTGAATACAGCTCCAGAGGTTTCCTTTGTCATTCACTCATGACATTCACATTTGCATACACTACAAGTTACTGAAATTTAGCACAAAAACTCCTGAGCAAGTTGGTAAAAGACTGGAAAGTGAACCTAGTTCACAAGTGCTGCAAGATGAGAATTAAGTCTGTATAAATACCACTTTTTTATCTAGCTAACAAGTGATTTAATATTAATGCATATAAGCAGACCTGGAACACCAAAAATATATTACTTGAACTATTTTGTACAGTTAATGATGAGCTCTATCTTCTGCTGGTTTGAAAACATTTACTGACAAGTCTGTATGTTTTTCATCAGTATCACAAAACTAGAGGAACACTGTATTAGGCTTCTAGTAGACCCTGCATCCTGTTCTTTTCCAATAGTTCCATTTGCGTGCATTTTTTGTTCTGAGATTTGTTAGCAGCTTAATGAAATTAGGACCCCACTTGAATCTGTTATTATTCTCACTTGAAACAAAAGTTTCCATCTTCACTTTAACAGAACTAATGTTCTGCAATATCAATCACTGTGCAAGAAAATATTCCAAATCATAACTCTCATGTACAGTAACAGGGCAGGGAACAATAGAACATACACCCTCCACTCACAGAAAAGAAATGGGAAAAATACACACATCATGACTAATGTTCTGCCACCTTGAAGGAAAAGCATGCTGGCCTGGAAGGTTACTTAAATATTAGAAAAGTTTTCATTACCTACAACAATACTGCTACTCTGTTAAACATTGAAAGATCTTAGTTTTATAGAAAAAGAAGAGAAAGAGACTACCTCGCAGATTTCTTCACACAAGAGTGAACTAATTAAGAGAAATGGGAAACTGTCATGATGTCATTTATTAATATACTTGAGACTTTTCTTATATACATAGGAGACAGGTTTTAATCAACAAAAATTGTCACAAAGGCATTTAGGCTCAAAATAATTTTGTCTCCTGTCAACCTTTGCAGTATGCATATTAAAATGCTTTGCAGATGGTTAACTGAAAAGCATTGTAACATTCCTCTGTGATCATAGGTCATCACTTGCATGGTAAAAAGAACTTTAGAGGTTTCCAGTATTTCAAAATAATTTTTTTTTATTCATTGACAATACAAACAGCATAATTCAAAACTAAACAAGAGTTAAAATGAGCTACAATTAATTTCTTAATACATATTAACTTTGGGGTTTTTTCCTCTGTAATAACCTACTGCTATGTGATAAAACAATTACATTTAAACAATATTAAAAAGGGTTTGCTTTGAAAAAATTATTCCTAGAGACATTATACAGTATAGGAAGATTGCCCCTACCTACTGAGTAAAACAAAATAAAAATTAAAATTAAAAAAAGGAATGGAAAAAGAAATCATGATATCTAATACCAGAAAAAACAAAACCATTCCTTATTTCACTGCATTTTGCACTTATCACCAGCCTTGTTTTTCTGGAGTTCACATCAAATGAAGACTGAGCTGTTCCACTCCCAGTGCTGAGGTAATTTGAAGTATAAAATATATATGCTTTGAATCTCCTTTCATTAGGATAAGACATTTCTTTTAAGAGGCAAGCAAGGTTTCAGAAAAAAAAAAAAATTGACATGAAGGAAGCTTTCACTATTAAGGCCCTCTCAAAGCAAACCTCTACTGATTACTAATCTAGGAGGTGAAAGAATTAAACTTTGTAGTTTGAGACTGAAAAGATTAATTTATATTAGCTGTAAATTAAGAAATAAAGATGAAAAACACCTACCTTCCGGGAATGGATTTCTTTCACATATAGTGGAAGTAGAAATTCAGATATTCCTTCAAGTCGTATTCCTTTTTTAGTGACTCTCAAATTTCCCATTCCGTCCTACAATCAATAATATATATATATATTCACTTTAGGAAACAACCTTATCCAGAACAAGCTAAAAAGAACACAGTAGTTTGACCTAACACCTAAAAACAATGATTGCTATCCCACAGTCCCCATCTCTCCTCGTGATCTTGGAGAAGAGGCAGATGGGCACATTTATAGCCAAAGCTTCACCTAGGATGGAAGTATTTAACTGTGCAAGCTGATGCTGACCTGCCTACATTATTCCTTGGCTGGACCTAATGCAAGAGTACAACTGTAGATCATCAGTATTTCCTGTACTGTAGAGATGAAACTAAATCCTGAATTTTATAATTGCTAAGTAAAAGAAGTAGTTAGCTTTTGTCTAATATAAATATATATATATATATATATATATATATAAAACATAGGGTAAAGCAATCTATTCATTGTTATATCTTGAATCCTGGTTTTGCTTTTCCCAGAAATTAAAATATATAAGAAAGTATCTTGCAGGAAGAAAGAAAACAGGTTTTAGCAGTTGCTCATCACTACTGAGAGCATGTTGCTCGTGAAAATAACAACTTCGAAAATGCTGAGGGTTGGTTTTAATTGTTTGTTTTTATTTATCTGAATAGGAAAGGCACCATTGTAAAAGCCTGGATGAAATAAGCAAACCACATGATTCAATGTTCAGTAAAATATAAACATAGAAAAGTGGCATAAGGTTTCAGGCTCCATTCTTACAGGAAAAAACAATGAAACCTGATTGATACTCAAGAGACAGAATCATTTTGCACACTGATAGAAATTCAAGAATTTTTATTCCTAGAATTTTGCTATTATAGTCCTGACAGAAATATAATGCTTCAGTGTACAGCCAAAGGAATTCAACTTGATACACCCAAGTGCAAAATTTGCAAATTCAACCTAATTGCTAATTACATATTTTGAAGACATTGTTGACTTTAGTGTAGTGGAACAGTGAGAACTTGCACTTCTACTCTGTTGGCTGAACTGTGAAACAAGTAGCCTCTGCTTGCTGTGCAACCATAAACAGCTGGGTAACAGTGTCCCCAACTGCTATGGCTGAATTGTCAAATAATTCTTCTTAAAAAAGGGATGTTATATGTTACAGTTAAAACAAGTTATAAGATGTTTATACAGATAATTTCACATAAAACTCTCAGGTACTTGTAGGCTTTCTAACACAGAGTGCAATATGAGACAGTGATGCCTGGTTTTGAAAAGGAAGTAAGATAAATTAGAATTTGTTTTCAAATATACAGTCTGCATTAAAAACAATTAATTCTTAATTTGCCCAGTTCTATTGTAATAGAATATAAAATTGCAATGGAAAAGGATAATCTGAGAAAATACAAAACACACGTATTTTTGGAAATGAATACTCAACAAGAATTAGGTACTGATATGTTAATTTGGATATAAACAGATTTTCTAACTGGAAAGTTCAATATGTTGTTTTATCTGCTTCTGTGGAATGTTTGTAACTGACAGGCACAAAATAATAATCACAATAAAAATGGGGGGGAGAGGAGGAGGAAATGAAAGAATCCCAAACCCCAAAATATACAAAAATGCAAAGTCAAGCTACCAGAAAACTAGAAATGCGGAAAATAAAGTTGTCCAGGAAATTTCCATCTGTTCCATCTTGCAAGTATGTGTGCAACAAAAGTTTATAATTTTATACAATATTTACCTTCCTAAATCTCAACTAATTCCACACAAGGTTGGCACTACTCCCAATTGGCAGCTACTCACTATTGCGCTTTCACCTCATTATTGTCTTTTCTCTACAGTTATTGCACTCTGTTAAAACTCTGCTTCAAAGACAGCACTTTCCATTTTCTTCTCAGTTTCTATTGTCATAAGTGTTTATTACTGAAGTTACACAGTTCTTCACAACTATTAATTAATTTTCAAAATACTTTCAGTAGCTTTATATTAAGCGATACTGTTCTTATGCTACTGATAGGGACCTAAAATGTGAAAATTAATTCACTTCATCATTTTTTTGGTATTTATCACATCTTGTCTGTTTATTTTCAACAGCAGGAAGTTAATTTGTACAGCAAGATTAAACTACCAGAGTCTCAGAAAAAAACCAATGAGAGAGCTTACTCTGTCCATAAAGGCTTTCCCTTTTCTAAGTGACATTTCTAAGCCCTTGCTCTTCAGTTCTTCAGCAGTGAGATATCCATTTACCAGAGTCCAACAACCTGAATACAGACAGAGTCTGCACAGACAGAAGCACTCCAGTTTCAGTAAAATTACATTATTTGATAAGAGAAGACAGACACTACATTCTGAGGCAAAAGTCAAAAATGGTATTATAAAACTGGAATAGGGTGACTTTAACCTCAGTGTTTGATAAATGCAATAATCTTCCAGACAATAACTTCCCGAAGTGTGCTATGACTGATATGAAATAAGGTTGAATAGTAAAATATAGAAAGTAGTCAGATGTACTACTACTATTACATGCTTAATGAGGTTTGCCCCATTCAAAGAATCACTGCCCACTACATTTTTTTCATTAATAACTCCCCATCAAGTTTAAACAGGGGTTGGAATAACAAGAGTTTCTTTTTTCATTGAGTAAGAATGATACTGTTACAAATTAAAGGGTTTTCACAAGCAAAATAACTTGATGAAAAAATTATTAGTATTAAAAGATTAACCAGAGGAAGGTCCTTCTGCTAATACTCCAAATAAACTCCTTAAAGTTTAGGCTTTCCAGGAAACTAATACTCAAATTATCATTTTGGTGTGATTTGATTTGATTCAAATATAAAAACAGACTCAAATGAACTATTTCAGTATTAACTTAAATAAGTAAATGCTAAGCTCAGGTACTGGGACTGACTGGGATGGAGTTTGTTTCTTCATAGCAGCCTGTATAGTGCTGTACTTTGGACTTTTGGTTAAAACAGTGCCTATAATCAATGCTTTGGTTATTGCTGAAGTGATCTTCCACAGTGTCAAGCCTTTCTCTTTCCAATTCTGAGTTTGTTATATCATTTACAACTTTCCCTTTTTCTCATAAAGAATATAAAAAACCCTAACAGTGACTCTGTCTCCCTTTGTTGTTTTCCCTACATAAGACACTAAGAAAAACAACCCCTGACCAGGATTATGTACTTGAACTTACATACACAAGCACAGAGGAAACTGAAGCACAGTAAAATGAAGCATTGGTTATTCTGAACTGCTTAAAACATTAATAAATAACATTTTACATTTCAAGTTTGCATGGTTGTTTTCTTGTTATCCTTAATAATAAAATACACAAAATATCTGTTTCAGTACTTTACAGGAGGAACAACAAAGTAGATGGTGGGCCAGGAAGCCCATTGTTATCAGTAATATTCAAGCTTTTCAAAATTCATGATGTCAGATGTGATATTCTGCATGATTTCAGAGCGCATATTTAAACCCAGATTCCGTCTCCAAATGCTCACAATCTGAAGGAACCACTGGACAAAACATGGATGGGAAAAAAAATAATAACAAAGAGGTAGTGTTTAAACAAAGTGCCTAAACACACTGTCCTATAAATTATTAAGCATTCACTATCTGTTGCCTTGTAGGCATCATAGCAGAAGCGAAACATGAAATGAAATGTGGGTGATGTGGTTGCATCGGTATGAAAATGAAAGATGAAATGTCTAAGTGTACAAACATCCTATGCCAAAGGGAAAACAAAAAAAGGGTAAGATATCAGAAGAAACATGATTGAAATAATGAAGTAGAGGTAAATTATACTGAAGATGGAAAAAGAATACTGAATTTGATACGATGGCAAAAAAGCAGGTAATGTAGAGGAACAGTAATGGGGATGATTAGGAAGATGAAAGATGTTATCAGCTATGTTGTTGATAAAATGGAAGATGTACACAAAAGGTTAGGAGGAAGATGACAAAGGAAATTATTTGTGTTGTATTCACACATGCAGAAAGCTGGATTTAATAAACAGAGTTGAAGCATAATGCCAGCTAGAGAAAAATGGTTCTTGGACATAGTTATGGATGCACAATTGAAGGAAAAACCATAGGCAGCAGCTGTCCTGCATAAACAAAATGGGTAGTGATGTAAATAACAAAACCAGAGTGTACTTTCCTGGATTACCAGGAAAGGTCACTGAATTTCAATAGCCAAAAATAAAGGTAAAACAATAGTAAGGTATCCAGGAAAACTCTCTGGAATGGTAAAAATCTGGATTAATGGAAACATCTGCCTTCATTTCATCTGCTGAAAAAAATAGCTGACACTTCATAGATATCAGGGAAAAGCTGGGGAATAAATTACTGCAGTACACTGCAGCAAATGTTTAAAGAGATACAGAATAAAGAAAAAAATAATATGTAAAACTGTTAAAAAAAAGGTCAGACTACTATTCAAACTAACTGGAACTGGGGAAAATAAAAAAAAAGAAAAAAAGAAATAATTTCCCCTCAAAATTCTTGCCATCAACATTCCTTGTCCCCAAAGATTTTTTAATATCACCAGAAAATCTATGCTGTTCTATCAAAAAAGACTGAGAAACATTTTAACCTCACAAGCTAGAACTCTCATCTGCAGATTTGAATCCTAGATTTAAAATATTCCCTTATTTAGATTTCACCACTCAAAGAAATGGGATTCCTAACATTTTACAATCACTTGTACCTATTTTAAAGTACTTGTACCTTCTTAAATGTTTTCTTATGTTTTGACTCAATTTTCATTACAAAGACTTAACTTACAATAACATCATGAGCCATATCAAGGAGGTACTGAAGTCCCTACAGTCAAGCACATCATGCAGTAACTCCCTGGACTGGCACTTAGATTCAGCAAAGTGTCCTTTTCTTATTAAAAAACCCAAATATCATTAAGTATGAGCTATTTTACTGCATCCTTGATCGCACTGTAGCAAAAAGCATTAAAGAAATCATTTTTCAAGGCAGTCCAGTCTAAGGAACCTATTACTGTCAAAACCAAAAGTGATTATTTTCATGTGAGGAAAAAGT